GGCGTTCCCAGGCCAGCCGAGAGACATAGTCCCTTCAGCGTGTCCTGGGTCTTCCTCTGGGTTTCCTCCCAGTGGGACATGCCCAGAATACCTCACCGGGGAGGCGTCCAGGAGGTATCCTAACCAGATGCCCAAGCCACCTCAACTGGCTCCTCTCGACGTGGAGGAGCAGCGGCTCTACTCTGAGTCCCTCCTGGATGACTGAGCTTCTCACCCTATCTCTAAGGGAGAGCCCAGACACCCTGCGGAGGAAACTCATTTCAACTGCTTGTATCTGTGATCTTGTTCTTTCGGTCACTACCCAAAGTTTGAGACCATAGATGAGGGTAGGAACGTAGACTGACCAGTAAACTGAGAGCTTTGCCTTCTAGCTCAGCTCTCGCTTAACCACAGCAGACTGGTACAGCGCCCACATCACCACTGATGCAGCACCAATCCATCTGTTGATCTCCCGCTCCATTCTTCCCTCATTCATGAACAAGACCCCGAGATACTTAAACTCCTCCACTTGGGGCAGGACCTCCTCCCCGACCCGGATTCGGCACCCTACCCTTTTCCGGCTCAAGACCATGGTCTCAGATTTAGAGGCACTGATCCTCATCCTGGCTACTTCACATTCGGCTGTGAACCGCTCCAGTGAGAGCCGGAAATCAGGATCGATGAAGCCAACAGGACCACATTATCCGCAAAAAGCAAAGATTTGATCCTAAGGTCACCAAAAAGGATACCCTCAACACCTTGGCTGCGCCTAGAAATAAYAGGGGGGTCACCACCTCGGTCTTCCAATTCAATCCAATTCAGTTTATTTATATAGCGCTAAGTCACAACATATGTTGTCTCTGGGCACTGTACACGAAAAAAGAACAACATAAAGACGTAGCCAGCAGAATGTGTTGAATCACTTCATCACAGTCTCCCATCCTGAGCAAATGATGGAGAGGAAAAACTCCCTGCTAATCAGGATTTGGATTAACTGAAGACTTCTTAAGGAGTTTTTTGGATGCCAGATAATAAAGAATTATAGTAGTCCAGCCTCGACGTGATAAATGCAAGGATCAGTTCTTCTGCATCCATTTTGGACAAAATTTTTCTAATTTTAGTGATATTATGCAGGTGGAAGTAGGCGGTCCTTGTAACATTTTTAATGTGGGGGTTAAAAGAATATCCTGATGAAAAATAACACCAAGTTTCTTTACATTAGAACTGGGGGCCAGATTAATGCCATCCAGAGGAGGTGAAAGGCTGCAAAGTTGATCCCTAAGATGTTCAGGTCCAAAAACCATAACCTCTGTCTTATCTGAGTTTAGAAGCAGAAAATTAAGAGTCATCCATGTTTTTATGTCTGTAAGACATGCTAGTAGTTTAAGTAACTGGTTGGATTCATCAGGTTTCATGCATAAATATAACTGAGTATCATCAGCATAACAATGGAAATTTATCCCATCCCAATCCAGGGGAACTGCCCCCGATGTCCACGTAATATTGTGAGTCGCATCAACCAATGCAACCCCACAACATTCAGAGCTTTAAGGAACTCCGGGCGAATCTCAGCCACCCCAGGCGCCTTGCCACCGAGGAGCTTTTTAACCACCTTGGTGACTTCGGCACCAGAGATTGGAGAATTCGACCCAGGGTCCCCAGGCCCTGCTTCCTCATGGGAAGACTTGCTGGTGGGATTGAGGAGGTCTTCAAAGTATCCTGCCCACCGACTCACAACGTCCCGAGTTGAGGTCAGCAGTCCACCATCCCACCATAAACAGTGTTAGAGGTGCATGGGCAACACCAGAGTCAAAAAAATGTCCAACCCCTCTCGAGGAGACTGGTTCGAGAGCCAGCTTCTGTAGCCGAGGATCGGACCGGCAGGGTCCTCACCCTCGATGACTGCCCATTACACATTGCATCCCACCCCTATGGCCCATCCCACTGGTGGTAAACCCATGGGAAGGGGGACCCATGTCTCCTCTTTGGGCTGTGCCAAGCCGGGCTTCATCGGTGAAAGACTGGCCACCAGGCGCTCGCCAGCATGCCCGTTTTCCAGACCTGGCTCCAGAGTGGGGCCCCGGTGACCCGCGTCCGGGTGAGGGAACACTGAATCCACTGTTGTTGCTCATTATTAGGGGTCTTCAGGCTCTACTTTGTCTGATCCCTCACCTAGGACCTCTTTGTCTTGGGTGATCCTACTGGGGCATGAAGCCTCTGACAACATAGCTCCTAGGATCATTG